GGGGATGGAGTATGCCGCAGTATGTGTATTGTGCACCAGGCAAATTAATAGGCTATTGCTTGAACAAGCTGCCTTTTTGCTCTGGGTTGAAGTATTCTCCAGAAACGGCTTTTTTTCGAGGGGGGGGGGATGCTTACAGCGGCTCGTATTCAGTGGAATCAATATCTTAAAGTTTACCATTCTCCGCCTTGCATGACAATAGTACTTTCTTGTCACAAAACCCATTGCATGACATTGAAGCGGAGTAAAATAATTTCTTAACGAAAAGCGTTAGACTTTATCATTTACATTACTTTAGTTCAAGCTGGTATGTTGTTGTTTTTTTGCCGGAATGCTGAAAACGCATATTTTTAGGCCTACTTTAAGTCGACGCGGACTTAAAAGATAATTATAGCTTGAAGATTGTGCAAATTTTGCAAAAATATAAAAAGTAGAATCAAAATAAAGTGAGTTTTTCAGCTGAAAATGTTGTGCGTAACATAAAGTACCAAAATAAAATGCAACATTTGACTGTTTGAGCTCTTGAAAAAGCCGTTGAAAGAGATGTTTTACATAATATTATGAATTACAGAGAGTCAAAAAGACATTCCAGGCAGAAAAAAGCAGGACAGCTGAGCGGGTCTATTTCAGTAACCCCTTCCCTTGTCCCAAATCAATAAAAAAGGCGAAAGGCTGGGTCTTCGTTTCGCCTAGTCATTAGTCATTAATAAGTCATTCGTGGTGGAGCAGAACACAAAGCCGTTACATTTTTAAAAGAAATAACATTAAACGTTGTTCGAATAATGTCGCTTCTAGTTTAGATTCAGCATCCTCAAACATGAACTGAACGCGTCTTTTCTTTTTCTTTCCTTTTTTTTTCTTACGAGAACAAAAAGCTCGAAGGCGAACCCCCCAACTCATAAAGAAACAACTTGTAATGCGCATTATTCATTCTATAATTCAAATACTGGGTTGAACAAAGCTCTGTCATTCCAGTTCGTACTGACATCAAGCGAAAGTTAACGCATAGTGCGCACCTTACAATACTTGATATCGTCCTGAACGAATTGAATCCTAATCAGTCTCGGGCCATTCTTAAACTCAACTAAACAGTAAGTATTTCTGCAAATTAAGGAGTGGCGTTTTTTTTCAGTACACTAATATATTCTTATAGAAAGCAATACCAGGGTCTTGTCAAAGCTGGTGACATACATCTTGCGGTCATTGTTGATTCTGGCATGACATTTATATTTTTAACAGGACTGTGTCTCTATCAAGCTCCTCATCACAAATCACAGACACAAGCTTCATGGGCCTTTTGATTGTACAGAGCAGTCTATTTCAGCTCCTGTACATAGATAGCTGGTGATTTTGCGCATGAATTATTAATGGTGTGATTCTGTTTGCTGATGACTGGGGCTGTAGGTCTTTTTAACTCATTGAGGACCCGCATTCCGGCTATTCGACAATACTGAAAGACGCCCTGTTTGGGGACACTTTAAAATAGAAGCTTACTTGTGTTGTTTGAAAAGATTTGTCAATTCTGGTTTCTTTATCTGAAACTTAACTGCAACAACATGCATATAATGAAATCTGCAATTTTGTTGTGGGATTTTTTTATTTGGGTATGGTGGTTCGAAATGAACCACAACATTGCCTTAGATCCGCTGCTGATCGGACATTTATATTTTGAGTACACTGCGTCCTTAAAGGGTTCAATAGGACTTTGGGACTGAACACAGACGTTGTCAGCCAAGGGTGCGTGTATGTGTGTGTGTTTGGGGGGGGG